TATAGAGTTTTAAATACTTTATTCAGTTTTAAAACATCATTCTCATTGATGGTTTACAAATATAAATAAAAAAAAGATAATACTTCCCTTGCATCGTAATATTTGTTTTTCATAATTTCTTCTGAGATAGCTTTTACGGTAGTTAATGAATCACAAGGTGTATTGCTGAAGATAAAAAATACTTTACGTGTATTAAGATAGAAGCAACCCAGTTTTCATCTTCCAAATGACATCTTTCCACTCATCTCGTTAACTAACGAGCGAGTAGAGCGAGTACGAATTTTCCTTCGCCTTCTTATGCTTTTTCAAAAATCTATCAACTTCGGCTTGCTAAGGTAAATATTGATGAATGGTCCGGGATATTTGAGTAAAAAGGGAAAATAAAAAAAACATCTGTCAAAGTTCTCGTTAATCTCGCGTATTATTTCGAGACTTTGAAACTGATTTTGAGAAAAACAAAAAGAATAGACTTTTGTTTGCAATCACTACTACCATCTGCGGTACCTCGTTCTACATTGTTTTCAAAGTACATACGTACTCTGTGCATATTTCATTAGTACGCAGTATGAAAATTATAATTATGTTAATATTCGGAATGAACCTTCCATAATTGTTGTATTAAAAAATTAATAAGAAATCTATTTAGAATTAACTATTAATATAATAGCGTAACATATTGATTATCTAAATACAATCTCGGATCACCTTTCAATGGAGTATATAAATAATATCCTGGTTCTCTTTGCCAACGAACAATAACTGACCGATCAATTAATCAAGCGGTAAGCAATTTTTCAATATAGGTTGTGAATTGTGATATCACACCAATTTAAATCAAACAACGCAAAGCTCTTGCTATACTGATTATCAAATCACGATCGCTTTCATGACACGTCGAGAAAATTACTTCTCATCTTTGATGATCGATCGCAAAGACTACGTTATAATGGACTCTAGGAACGTTTCTTTGGCCACGTGGTGATCGATTGCCGAACAACATCGTCCAACACGGCTTCTGTTTACACGTAGGCTATACGCGCTTCTTTCGGCGCTTGCTTTGCGTTGGCTTCTCCTACATCGTGATTAATGGATTTATCGGTTCATCGATAGTTACTTGCTGTTCTTGGTGTATTGACACGGAAATTCAGGGAGAGATTGAGATAGCGCAGAGCTAGTAAGGAAGAGAGTAATTAATCGGATCTAATTTAGAAGAAAAGTAGGAAGTTGTGATTGAACATTTGTTTGACTGAGTCAAGGCGGTAGAAGTCAATATTGTATCAGTCTTTAAAACTTGAAGAGCTTCGCATAATTAGTTAGAAAATTCGGTAATTATTAGCAATTACTAAAATGTCCGAGCTCGTGATTGACCGTCAGTAGTAGCAGCAAATATCATGTCAGACAGATGAAAAATGAAAACGGCAAATAGCTTTGCAAATCCATATGTTTAAATATTAACGCACAGTTAACATCGTGTTTTCACGCTTCGAACGTGTAAATTTAAGAACATCGACATACCGTGTATATTTTTGTTTAGTAACAAGTAAAATAAATTCCACAAAATGTAGCATTATTCGCCGAATGCAGGCTGCATACAGAACGAAGATAATTAATGACGCTAATCCAGGATACTTAATGATTCATTAGCGTTCTGGCTTGTTAGTAACGGGCCATCACCGTCCTATTCATTAGTCAGTATAATAGGTACAGTACAAGTGGTTTTTGCCGAGAGATGCATTAAGTTCATCAACCGGCAATTAATATGTAGATTTTCAAAATGGTTACGCACATTATGTGATGCGTTTGATAATATACTCGAATGTGCGAAATTACAAATACAAACCTGTAAGCTTTATCCATTTGCAATTCAATTATTTCCATTTTTATATATCGCAATTGCTTTTTTTATTCTTCAAGCTATTGAACAAACATTATATTTTTAATAAATTTTCAGTTTCATTATTCTCAATGACTTCATTTGTTAAGTTATATTCAAAAATAATTCCTTTTCAAAAATATGAAGATTCCCATTTTTTGTGCCTAAAGCGATAAAGTAAACGAACGTTATAGTTCTAAAGTATAAGTTTTCAAAATAACTACTTTATTTTTTTTTCGTAAATTATAATTTTTTGAAAAAATTATTATTGTTTTTGAAACCAAGCAATTATTACATAAAACATCAATACAAGACGTTTCGTAAATACGACGAAACGAAAAACACTGCTATGAATAAACTAACTCAAGCAATGAATTTTTCAATATAATGAAGCCACTGCTCTTAATACTTTTACCAATTGAGCGAACGCGCTTGCTTGTCTGACAAATCGTCGTTAACCAAAACTAGCACTTAACTAATTAAGCGTGCTTGAAACTAAAGTCAAGCATCAAGGCAGTACGTCGTTCGATGGATAAATAAATAAACAGTAAATACAACAATCAATTCAAGAAACCATTTAGTTTGATGGATTCACTCGAACCGCTTAAATAGAATCGCATGAAATTTAAAGACAAAAATAAATCCTAAGATTAATCTTTGAAAAAAGAAAAAGACTTAGTATTTTTCACCATTATTTCATCGATCGCAATGATTCTTAGATTCTGACAGGTTATTTCCGTCGCGTTGCTACTAGCAAGAGAGGCTGCTTCACACAGTATGAAAAGATCAATCGATTCGTCTGCTCCAGGGGACAGTTAGTGATAAATGGTTTCTTCAAAGAGATGCACGACTGTCGACATGGAAATATTGCTGAATAATCGGTCACATTGGAACGAGATGAATGTTAAGCGGTGGAGAGAAATTAGCACTAAACGGCGCGAGGGCAAGTTCGATATTGAAGTTTTCCATTTCTGACATTCGATCTTTCGTGAGTAATGATTTGTTCGCGCAAATGGGCTCAGCGCTTATTTTTGTAAGAGCTTTCAGCAATAAAATTGATAACACAAACCAAAAATAACTGTACAAATATTAATAGCACACATAAAAGTTTACCTAACTGGTTCTACCTTGAAAAAAAATATTTATCAAGAATATTTCCGTAGAATGCGAATAAAGTTTACATTAACGCGTAATTTTACTGACAAGCTTTTTTTTAATTCTCTTACGAGAAAAAGTTAACTAATAAAATTGAAATTTTATCGGTGTATAAAATTCCCTTAATTAGAAAATATATTGAATACGTAATGAAAGTTTTCACAAAGATCAGATTTTTTGTCTCTCGTCATGCTTTGTTAAATGTCAGAGAGAAAGCAATACAGCTAATAAAGAGATAAAGCTTGAAATTAAATGTCCACGATGTATAGAAATCATTTTACTCGCCTTCAGTCATGTGCAACAATTCGTACTACTGATAAAAGTATTTTCTCGCGAAGTTTTTATTTCCGTTTCGCGAGAAAGAGAGAGAGAGAGAGAGAGAGAGAGAGAAAGTTGACAAGCTAATGGCAATGAAACTGGCGCGAGAAAACTATCACAACCCCGGGCGCGGCAATACAGATCGAAGATGACGGCAAAGTTGCTCTTCGCGAGAAAGTTCGTACGGCGGCGGCAGCTGCTCCGAGCCGAACAGACGCTTAAAAGCTCGTTCATCGAACTTGGACCTCTGCTTTTGTTACACAATAGCCAAAGTGGATTCGCCCCGTCGCTTAGTAGCGCTCTATCGAAGTCATGATCGTAACTCGCAGTCAATCGTCTGTCTCTCTTTCATGACTATCGTCATAAAGTAATATTTTTTCTCCTGCTCTCTTTTTGCCAAACGACAGTTCTATTTAAACTTAGCTCATTTCGTCGCGGTTGTCGCGTGCGCGGTGTCGAGATTTCGCTCGCGCGTGGCTTTTGGACTCGTGACGCGGTTGACTGCGACGTTTTGCTATCAAACTGGGATTTTTTTCTCTCTCCTATCAACGTTTTGACATTTTCCCAATACGTGGCGAAGTTTCTTATTAGAAGTAGCCGGCGAATCTTGACTTTGAAGAAAATTGTTTCATTAATGTTACAAGCTGAATCGTAGAAAGTTAAATTTGAAAATAGTTCTGTATTAAAAAGATACGGTATGTCTAAAGCGCTTGTTTTGTATTTTAAAAATATCGTCACTTTCTAATAACTGTAACGTATGTAGATGATATATCAATTGTGTAAATATAAGTGTAAAATGTAATAATAACACAGATATTATTTTAACGTATCAGTGTCTTACGGGAATTAAACGTTTTCTAATTATGCCGTAAAATTTGAGTGACCAATTGAAGTAATATCAGACTGGTTAGTGTCGATTACCCATTTTATATTTTAGTTGATAACATGATATCGCCTACTTGTATATCGGAATCTCATGGTATTTATTGAATTACTAATGCCCGTCTCGTGAGCCACGTATTCAATGCATGAATAAATTATGTATTCAACAGGAAAACACTCGGTACGTAAAGAACATAGCATTTCACAAGCAAACGAATTTATTTCATATCTCAGGTATATTAGAATGTTGAAATAGGTACATAACGTTGGATATACTTCCATTCGGTAATGCATATTAAAAAACGTTTTTTTTATTTCAATCCAGCTATATACGGTAATCTAGTTGACGGTTATAAAAAATATTTTACATCAAACGAAAAAAACCAAAGTTATACTGTCGTTATCGTCATACGTATGCGTTTTTATTAGTCGCGCGTCGAGTAAACATTTCTAGAATTTCCCACGAGATATCATGTCCAACCAACTTACTGACAATCGTCAATATATTTTGGTCGCTTATGAAAGGCGTAAAACAATAAAAACAAAACAAAACAAGTTCGTTGTAAATTTCACTATTGCACTTGGCTGCAAACTCATTGGTGTCATAATCCCGAAATAACTTTGAGGTTGACGTTCCCGTAACGATATTCTCTCTCACTCAAAAAGTAAATCTGGGAACAACGTTATCAGAGCGTCAGTAAGCCGTAACTCAAACTTTCTCGGTTGGGGTAAGGGAGAAAAAAAAACTTCATGCCTCGGCGAGCAATTTTACCTGGCGATAGCAACCACCACCACCGCCACCACCACTACGATCTCGTGTTGTCAGTTCTTTCCTGTTCCAGAGATGCTTCACCACTTCTTTTGCCAACGGTTATCCGCAGCGAAAAAATAGAGAAGTTCCTTCTCACCCCCCACCAGCCACTCTCTATCTCGAGACCACTTAATCGTCCAGCACCACTGGGACATCGATTCGCACTGAACTCTTCTTCATTTTTCACCCGAATGTCACTACGTATACGAGTGGACCTATGAGTTTTCTATTTCAAAATCTTGATTTAGCGAGATGTCCCTCTCATTCTAATTAAAAAAAAATCACACTAAATGTAAACTCCACTATTCTCCATTGCTATCTTTACCGTTTAAAAAGTAAAGTGCAGCCGACAAATCTTGCCAATGCTGATCTCATTCCAATGACACGAGTCTCTGCTGCGCCGACCGAAACAGTTCTCATGAGCAAAAAAAAGTCGACTACTCAAAAGTCAAAGTGACAACAGTCGCACGCGGCGGAAGTTTTGGGTGTCGCGCAAGAGCGCGCATAGTGTATTGCGCAGGCGGCGCGCTCGTCGCAAGGGGCGCGGCGTAACTGAGAGCTCGACGAGCGTGCGACCGCTACTCTCGGCTCTACCAGCAGTAGCTCCCACCCGTGGAGACTCCGAGTGCGCGCGTTTCCGTGAAAAAGGTCTACAATAAGAGCTGTCTTGCGCGTATTATATATAATTATATATAATCTTTCATATCTCACTGCTTTCACGATAAACTGTTAATTAAAATTTAACGATGTATAGTTAAAATTCACCCGATACATCGATAATGACAATTTAATAATGTATTGTTAAAATTCACTCGATATACTGGTAATGTCAATAACAATGCATTTAATGAATTTCAATGATTATTGTTTTGACATTAAATCAGTTTTGTGAAGATCATAGACCAATTGCTTTGATTTCAAACTAATTTATTTGAACCATGGAAAGTGCACTGTAATTGGATACTGTTGAAATTAAAGCATTGTAATGCTTTAATGTAATCCGACGTAATTCGATACAGCTACGCTTGCCTTGATTTAACTAACGATTTGTAGTCCATGATCTGTATTTAATTTACTATAAAACCAATGAATGTTAATATGATATGAATTTCACGAAATTCTAATTATTCTATCAATTTTCGTTAATTAATAAATTATTTCTACAAGGGAAAATCCAGGAGAAATTTTCCCTGTTGTATATTAGATTGAAGACTAGAATTAATTATGAACATTTATTTACCAATTACCAAAAGTTATATAGATTAAGTCACTAACAAAAAAAGCTACATTTCCGACAGGAAATGTTCTGAAAATAAGTTTTCCACTTAGTGATACGATATAATTGTTTCAACAATGTCCGAAGTACTGAACCCCTGTAGATGATTATTTCTAGTCATCGGCACGCAGCTAGTGCTAAATACATCATTACTCTAAAGCATGGATATTCATCTTGAGATATACAATCATTAAATGTTGTACATTTTAAGATTTATTTGTAACGTTATACAGTAATTTTCCAATTCATAAAAGTTAATAATACTTACCCTTTTAAAGTATCGTGAATAAAAATAATTCTATCAATATTAAAAAAACAAGAATACCTGATGGAATAATGCACCAACGATATAAAAATGAATATTTATTAGAACAGTGGTTTATGTCCCTTTTTTAGAGAAATATTTATAATATTTTATCAAAATATTTGAATTGATTAAACTTCGAAAGGTATCAATACAAAATTCTAGCAGCCAATTACGTAGATATAAACTACTGTACGACAAGTAGTAAAATTTTAATGCAGTCAGACAGTGTACTGGGTAGCATTTACTCCTTCTCCACCCCACAATATTATTACTTTTAGACCGTACACAAGGAACATAAAATTATTTGGCGCACATCTGTACCAAACGGATCATCTAGCGTCTCACATACACGCACCATCAGTCAACCAATGTGCCGAGCGATTTGGATAAACGATCGTCACCTGCGAAAGATCTCTCTCCTCTCTCTCCTCTGTCTCCCTCTCTTCCTCATCCGCGCGCGTCGTGAAACTACATATTACGCATAAATATTTTACGGCCGATGCACGCGTTCACTCACGGTGTATGAAAACAAATACTACCCAGGTGGATATCTGAGATTCTCTCTCCGTGTTTATGCTTTTTGTGCTTGCCTGTGTATTTTTACATTTTTACAACACACACAAAAATGTCACGCGTTTTCTTGGTTTTTTTGGCACAGATTTGTCACCTTGTTTAACATAGTAACTTTTGCACTATATATATGTATATGTGTGTGTGTACATACATATACTGTCGCTGAAAAATGGTTGAGGAAGTCGAAGATACGAAAAAGACGTGAACGTGGAAAAACCTGACGAGGGGTGACTTAGAGAGTTTGAAGAATACGAGATCAACCGGATTTAGCAAATTTTCGAGCTACTGGCTTATCCATGCACATGTTGAAAGATGTGTACATATAAGCTTGAATCTACTGCGTGTGACTGTGTATATGTGCGAAGTAAAATGAATTTTATATAAAAGGATGAAAGTATTACTATTCAGTTACTACGTAATAGTAATGATAAGAAAATTTTAGCATGGTTAATAAGTCTCACCTTGAAATGAATGCGAGTGCAGCGTATTTAAATTAGATTAAGGTTGGGGCGTGTACGCAATACAAATGGCAATTCAGACTCTTAGGTTAAATTAAATGTCACTTTAATCAAAACAAAGACAAAGAATACGTATTTATCCCATCTAAATACTATCTATAAAAAGAGAACATATCATATGACTTATAGAACTAAACAAGTCAAGTTAAATGCACCACAATATAAACAATATAAAATAATACAAACTGTGTCAAAATAATAGAGAGATCCAAGCGCACTGGAGAACGTAAAAATAAAAACTTCACGGAATCGGTACAAATGTCGCTAGTGGAACGGCCATTCACTTAGAGATATAGGCTTACCAGTTAGACGGCACTCAGTGATATATTGAATATCGTAAGTGAAGATGGTGCCTCATTCACGTTGGTGCATCGCATCTCCGACATCTCGGGTACACACACACACACACACACACACACATACAACCAGGATACGATGAGGTTTGCCGAATGGATGGGCATAGACACAGAGTGGTAGCACCCCAGAAGAGTCAGGACGTCTTCTACTGACGCGCAGTCGTCAGCCCAGTTGCAAGTTGCATCACTGGTATCGTTTACACCTTTGCGTATGTTCGCACATTTACGCACGCTTGCGGATACATAGTTGCAACTCTTGGTACGCCACACCCTTCGTATCAGCGGTACGCCACGCACTCTAGCACGCATACACACACAGCGATTGGCAAGATTACGTAACATACGGTAAGTGGAGTAAAGAGCTGAGTCTTGTGAGAGAGAAACGTAGTTGACGCTTTTCCAGAAGGAACTGCTTATCACCGCCTCTTTTCGCATACGAGAAGACACGCGGTAAAATCGTCCCTACTCCTAAGGCCCTTGCGAATACCCAGTCAGAGCCTCCTTTCAACAGTGAGGGCGGATACGGACCCGCGGCCCGGGTTTGTTACCTGCGCTCATCGAACGCATGCCTTTCTTATTTTCTGACGCTGCGCGCGCGCGTCCTCACTCTTGAGTTTCCCTATACGCGTGCTGAGAGAGGGTATCTGCCGGATTAGTACAACCTTTTACGATGACCATTCCCTTTTCATAATCATTAAAATATATTTCATAATCATTGGGGAAAGCGATTTATGGAAACCAGGAGCAATCGATGGTATTCAAGCAGGAGATGCGCAGATGTGCAATAATAGTTGGATGCACAACTAGATAATAAGGCGAGATACATAGCAACTCTCGTATATTCAGACAAACGTAGTAAAGATAATCCTGAGTGTAAACCGTGATTTATTGGTGTACTGCCGCACATTTCTCGTTCTCTTAACTCTCTTCTTCTTTCAAAAATAAAAACATGTGGAGCACAAACGGCGCGAATAATTACATTTTAACGATGATGGAATGACGATTATAACTCGACAAAATTTTTTTTTATTTTTAACATTTGTTATTTATCGTAAAGCCTCATTAATTAATTATAATGACTGTAATAACGAATAAATATTTTTATTTATAAATTAAATATATCCAATCTTCTCATAGTTTATCTTTAGTGATTATAGGTTTTTAGTCTATTTGCCCTCTTCCGAAAAGGTTGATGGCTTAAATATCGTAAAGGATGAAGACCGACCAAGGAAATATGTTTACCAAAGCACGTTGATTTGGCTTTCCTGGAGGAAAATGCGCTGAACTATATTCGTATGTACAATAAAATGAAAGCGTGTTAAACGTTTGTAAACAGTGTAAATTTTTAAATTCAATTATGTATTTAAAACATTGTATCAATATAATAACTATAGTTCATTAAATAGTTAAAATAGCATACTTTATTTTATGCAATGATTGTCGTAATAAGATCGATTAAACGTTAACAAATATAGAAGGAAATGCATGCACGAAAATATCTCATAAATTGCTTTAGAAAAATCAAAAATTATGTGATCAATATAAGGTTTGTAAAACACGAACAAAAAATAAAGCAAGTATGGCATTCGCTTTGAAGATGCTGGAGTGTAATCGATGATTTATAAAGAAAAGCACAAAATACAAAGAAAGGAACAAAGAGGATAAATAGCCATCAAGCTTAGTCGTAGCGTAACAGCAGAGACCGATCCTAAATACTGAAACAAGAACTCAACAGCCCTGTACGTGTGCACGTAACGTTACTATGAGCTAGGGCATAGCAAAAAGCAAGCGGCGTACGCGTGAGCGGTGTGTGTGTGTGTGTGCGCGCGCGCGTGTGTGCCTGTGTGTATGTGTGTGGAAGAAGCGATAAGCGGCCTCGAATTCCTCCCGACCGCTGAGCAAAGTTATTAGCGCGAGCGTGAAAATGTGTGAAAATTAGGTCGACGGGAATAAGGAAGGCGAAAGCTTTGCGCAACTTCTTATACCGGCAACGCTGCTACATATAAGCTATATAGCTAAGAGAGAGAGAGAGAGAGAGATGAGGTTCTAGTTCCACGGGGAATGCAATTTTTTAAAAGCTCCTCACACACGCCACACAAGTCAATGTACCACCTTCTCAACGTCGACGCCGCGTTGGTCGTTTTCTCGACGTCTACGCTTCAGCTGATTCTACGCTATTCCTCGACAAAAAGAACGGATGTGTTTATTATTGAATTTGGCGGATTTTTCAGGCTTCGCGCCTTTGCTAAAAACTGTTTGTCCTCGTTTCTTTCTAAAACTTCAACGCTCGACAACGCTGGCACTCTTTTTTGGAATTTCGAATTTTTTTCGAGAACTTTGTTTTTTACGGTGAAATCCACTTGTTTGATTAAGTTAACTAAAAAAACTGCAGCGCTCGGTGGCGTAAATATTATTTGCGTACAAATAGGTATTGCAGAATTTTTAGATTTATTTTAGAAACATCTATAATAAAAACTACTATTCGAAGCAAAGCCATAA